GAGAGAGAGAGAGAGAGAGAGAGAGAGAGAGAGAGAGAGAGAGAGAGAGAGAGAGGAGGTTAGGAACAGAAAGGGACTCAAGATGTTTCTCAGTGACCACACTAAGAAAGTCCAGCCAGCAGATAGGGCAGGGTCACATAACAGGACGCCTCTGTGCCCGCGAGAGGAGTCACTAATTCAGATAACTATCTGAGGGCCATTCTCCCCTTGTGGCTCTCTCCAGTCATTTTCCAATTTGGACCAGGCCACTAGGACTACCACGCCAATCAAGTGTAACCAAGAGCTATCTTTGAAAGCTGAGTTGGCTTTAACGGAGCGGCTCCTGGACCCGGCTGCTAGTCTACCAGTGTAACCTCTCTGGGCTCTAAGACCCCAGGAGAGACCTCGGGCCCCCGATCCCATCTCCCCCCACCCCACCCCCCAACTCCCAAGTTTGTTCATTCAATGAACAGGAAAAAGAGAGGACTCCTCTACCCGGCAATGCAAAAGTGGAGAAAGCTCCAAATAATAATACCAATAATAATCACGGCCACATGTGCATTGGCCCTTTGGCACCACTCAGACTATCCGCATTTCAGGTTATCAAAAGGCACGTGTGACTAGTAGTGATGGTTGTATGGAGAGCTCAGTTCTGATGCTGAAAATGAAATTTAAACTTGAACCTTGAAATTTCCGACCAAATTATTTTAAGAGTCTTTTTGTACTGGGAGTTAAACCCAAGGCTTTGTAGGTGCCCAGCAAGCACTGTACCACTGAACTGCCTTTCCCGGCCCACTTCATCTTCTAATGGGGGCTCACTAAGCTGCTCAGGCTGGCCTTCAACTCACTCTGTAGCCCAGGCAGATCTTGCACACGTGAGCTTCCAGCCTCAGCCCCCCCAAGTAGATGAGCCTTCCGTCACCAATCCAGCTTCAGGTCTACACATTCTTGCAAAATAACAACCCCAGAACTGTCTCTGGGCCAACTACCACCCCCAGTTATAAAAACAAAAACCGACACTCTGCGCATCGCAAAGCACTACTGCCATCTGGTGGCCTCTCCGTCACAAGCGCGCTCCCCAAGAGGACCAGATCAGCTTTTAGGATTGTGTTGTTCAAAATGTGCTCTCTGACCACGGTGGGTCCCAGGGAGCTTATTAAAAATGGACATTGCTGAGCGCTATAGAGCCTGGGTCTCCATTGACACACTCCAAACACCCACGCTTAAAGGGAATGTCCCAAGTGATCGTCGTGCATGGTCAGCTAGAGAGAGCCGTCAGTCTAAAGGATGCAAGCTGAGAAAACTCAGAGGCCACACATGGAGGACTCATGCTCGCTAATGCTGAGCAGAACGAAGATTGCTGTTCTCTGAGTCTGCTGGGCTCCGTGGAGTTGGTTTATGTAGAAATAACAACCCCGGGCACTGTACACACAAAGCTGAAAAGAATCTAAACGTCACCAGCTTGCTCTCTCTCGTGTTCCCTCCCTCTCCCCTCCCTCTCTCCTTCTCTCTGTCCACTCCACATCTGGATCCAGCCAGGTGAACTCCTTCATAGTCCTCCCACTTCACCTCTCTTCTCTGCAACTTTGCAAACGGTCCAGTCAGTCTGGAACAGCACTCTCCACCCCTCCCAAATATCCAGGCATCGCCTTCTCAGGAGGCTCTCTGAGGAGACCTTTAGGCTAAACTACATACCCCCTTCTTAGCGCCCCACCACAAAAATGCGCTATAAGTGCTGTATGCAATCGCATTTAAAGACACACACACACACACACACACACACACACACACACACACACACAACTGTAAACTTTTCTCAGGCAGAGCTGTGTCTCCGTGGCTTCACAACCCGGCCAAACCTCTAGCGCGTAGCTAGCATGCTTTGCTCAGTATTTACTAAGTGAATAAGTGTTTTCAAATGCAACCAGAAGCCTGTCTGATTTTTTTCAATGATAAAATAGTAAAACTGGGAGGGGTGCGGGGAAAGGGCAGGAACAGAGCAACCTGGGAATGTCCTCACCACCTCCCAGGAAAGGAGTGATTTCCCCAGAGGACAGAGGCCTGTCACATCTTGCTCAGCTAATCTGACAGAAGCCAGCTGCAGTGGTTGGTCTGCCCTGGGGAAGGCGTGCTGAGGCTGGGAACCACATGCCACTGTTTGCCCCTGGGGACAGGGGCACAGGGGGAGGGTAATTGACTTGTCTCCCAAATTTATTTATTAATTCCTAGCTACACCATTTGATGTGGTTTCCAGGAGGCATGCCGTTGAAATCTGTTCACTGCCTTCACCGCCTACCCCTCACCCCACGCCGTGATGGCCCCTAGGGAGCCTGGTAAGCCTCAGAGCCAGCTCACCAGCAAGACTCCAGGCAGGCAGGATCTAGACATGGTGCCCACCACACAGAAGAGCTGGGCTCCTGTGAAGGGCTCTGTACCCTAGGCTGCAGATTTGGGTACTGATGAGAGTGGATAGACAGCTCAGGAGCACGCTCAGGAGGCCTGGATCTCCATGGGATGTCCCTGGGATCATCAGGAAAGGGAGGAATCAGTGGCTTCCTGAAGCCTAGGCAGGAAGACCCAATGAGCTGGGCGTGTTGGAACAGACCTATTATCCCAGCGTTGGGAGGTAGAAACAGGAGGATAAGGAGTTCAAGATCATTCTTGACTGCAGAACATGTTCAAGGTCAGCCTGGGCTACAGGAGACCCTATCTCAAATGTGTGCTTGTAAACACACACACACACACACACACACACACACACACACACACACACACACACACCCCAAAGAGGCTATAACTCCATTGGCAGAGTGCTCTCTAGCATCCACTAAGCCCTGGATTCAGTTCCCAGCACTGCATACACTGAGCATAGTGGCCAGCCTGGGCTACACCAGACTTTGTTACAGGGAGGATAGGAAGGTATGGTAGGAAGTGAGGGGTCCTGGCTTGCCCATTTGTATGGTTCACCTGACCACAGGCATTGTGGGTAATTCTAAGTGAGCAACAGTGTTTATCATTGTGCTGGGCAGATGCCTCGAGTTCCGCTCCCTGCTTTGTGCTCCCCAAATTTCTGCCTGTTTCCTACAATTAGTATAAATAGGTTTTGTAATTGGAGAAACAAACAAAACGAAGACACGAGCATGCATCTATGTATCCTACACACAGCCTTGTGACCACACTTGGACAAGCAGGGCCGTGGTGGCCTGCATGCATGCTGTGTAGACACCACTGAAGGTGGCTGATAAGGACTTTGCTCCTCAGCTTCCCTGTTTTCTAGTCGTCCCCCGACCCCGACCTTCCCTACAGAAACTAGTTTTTTTTCATTTTCCTTTGAAGACCGTTGCCCCTCCACCCAGTTCTGTTCCCTGATTCTCTCTCCTCCTCTCAGGACTCGAATGTATTCAGCCACAGCGGGACCTGCCCTTCAGCTCCCTGAGCTAGTAATGCAACCCTGGAAGTCTTTCTTCCCCCCTTAACCCCTACACACACAGTCACAAGCATACACACAGCGCATGCGCACCAGACTCTGTGAGACCCTCCTGGAAAAGTCTTGTCTACTACCATCCGACACATCTCGGCTCGTGGGTACACCAGGGCCAGACCAAGGACTCCTTTCTCTGTGTGTCCTTTACCTTTGTCATGGACTCTGACCTAGGCCAGGAGGGGCCAGCAAGGTCCTTGTCTCAAGAACAAGGCTTAACGGAATGGCCCACACCTCAACAGTCAACTCAAATATTTGAAGCAGTTTTTTTAAAACCCCAAATTAACTTCACATATCCAGGATGAATGAAATGTCAAAACCTTTAAATAAAGAAGAGCTCCCCGTGACTGATGTCTTGGGTGCCTCAGGCACAACTGAGTTTGGCTTCGTATGCTCTCCAGAATGAACCCATCTGGAACAGAAAGGCATTCCTCAGCAGGAGTCAGAATGTAAGACTAATGTGGCTCTGAGCTCTGCGTCCAGCGAGCGAGTCTGTGCCTGTCTCTCCGTACAATGACACTATGACGTGAGGAACTCAGGGTCCTCAGCAGCCCGAGGGACACAGCCCTGAATTCGCCAGGACTCAGAAGGTCAGCTGTGTGGCTAGTTCAGAGTCAGGCATTCCGGCCTCCGCAGGGCCAGGTCCAGGAGGCAGAGGCAAACATGTGATGTGTGGACAAGGGGACTGAGAGACGGGCTGAGGAGGCTGAGGAGCCAGGAGCTGAGCGGGTCGCTGCGGATTTTTCCTCCTAGCAGCGTTCAGGCCTGTTCAGGCAGGTCAGCCTGCCTACCCACTTGAGGTCACGTCAGATGCCACCTCCATGACCTCCTCCAGGCAAACAGATGCCTCAAGGAAGACACCTGGCCCCTGAGCCGTGGAGACCAAGCAGGCCAGCATTCCAGAGAACTCTGGCCAAGGGACCCTCACAGCCTGGCCTACGTGACTTGCTGGGACTCCTGAGTGTAGGGATCCTGCCTTATATATTTTGGCCTCAGGATCCCACTTGCTCAGCTCCTTGGAATCTTATCAGGATGTTATTTCTACCAGGGAGGGTCTCCTTTGCCTAGAAGAGACCACTTCCCTGGCCCAGGAGCCTCTGAAATTCCAGGCCAATGTCATCCAAAGGCAGGATCTTTCCTCACACTAGCAGAAGCACTGAGCTCAGAATGGCTAGAAGAGACAATGCTAGAAGTGCAACCTGCAAATACCAGGGGTACCCGAGGAGGAGCAAAATGCAACCATGGCCCCAGTTCTGATGGTGAAATCCCCAGCCTACACTCTGTGTGTGTGTGTGTGTGTGTGTGTGTGTGTGTGTGTGTGTGTGTGCGCACACGCATGTGCATGTGTGTGGAAGGGACTGGTAACAGGTCCAGCCTGTAGCCATCTGCTAAAGAGGCCCAGGCAGGCTGACCTCACACAATACAGGTCTCTGGCGGGTTTCAGTGGGCTATGTTGTCAATCAGAAATCCTGTTTGTCCTGGGAGCCTGAGCCACGATCACATTTACATTGACTCACCCAACACGCGTGGGTCCCCCACTACGTGCCAGGCCTGAGGCTGGGTGCACCCCCAAGCACACTGTCCACACACCCAAACCGAGCAGTCTTTTTCAGCCCTCACCAGGGCTGCATGGAATAGCCTTTGTGGTTGTGTGCAGCTGGTCCGCACGGACATCCGCACACCACAGTCATGGGCTCTCTTCCTTTCTGACTGACACCCACTGCCAGTAACAGACACGGGATCTTGGTACCAGTAGGTGAAATACCCAGCGGCTCACTGCAGAGACCACACACCCTGGCCAGAGCCAGGGAGACCGGCTGAAGTCTGAGCTGCCTTAGGGCCCTGGCTTGGCCTCTCGGGCCCTGCCGGTCCACTGGGCTGTGAGGAAGGAGTGATATCAGGCTGACACAGGATTCACAGGTCAGGGGACTCCACACAGAACCAAGATCTAAAAAAAAAAAAAAAAAAAAACCCGAAGGCATCACAGTTCTACCACATTGTTTCTCAAGCCTAGGCCCCCACGCACAGCCCAGGCTTCCTCACTGGACACACCAGCCCTGCCTCACCAGCAATGTGGCCTATCATGAAGCCAAGTTGTCTTCTAGGGAACCCCGTGGGCACACACACGCACGCACGCACGCACGCACGCACGCACGCACGCTTTCATCAGGTTAGCCCTTGCTAAGAGTGTTCAGGTGCTCCCCACCACCTAAGAATGAACTCTGACCAGCTAGCATTCCAGATCCTTCTGAGGACTGGAGGTGATTTTCTTGGCCCGGCTTCCTCTTGTCTCTCCAGAAGCCTCCCACCCAAGCCAGTGTGCACACGCCTTCGACCTAGACTGTGCCTGTTTACACCTGTGCATGTTTTGCAAAGCCTTTCTGTATCTCCCCCTTACGACCTCCACCACCACCACAACCATCACCCCCCACCCCCCGTCCTTCCTACCCATCCCTCCCTGCAGGGCCGAACTAGAACTACCAAAGCTCATTCAAGGAGCCTTTTGGGATGGCCACAGCTGGACACTGCCCTCTTATCAATGCTGTACTCCCTGAGTGTGTTGTCCCTACACACACACACACACACACACACACACACTCACACACACACATCGTCTCCTACTGGGGAATTGCCTCCTGCCCGCTAGAGCCCCAGCTAACCTCAGAGTTGAGGTTGGGCCCGGGCCATGCATCTCCTCTTTGCGACTTGTTTTTCCCGCAGCGCAGGGCTGGGCAGGCTGGCACAGATGCTGTCACCCACTTAGCCCATATCAGCCTCAGGGGTGGATGTGTTGTCTCCCTCCGGAAGGGTGTGACCCCAGCCCCCCGTTGAAGGCATCAGCCTCTGGCTGGGTGGCTCTAAGGCCCGAAGTCAGGCTGGGGCCTGCTCAGCTGGGCGGGAACCGCACACATTCCTTCGGAATTAAACAAGGTCCCGCTGGCTCCAGGCTCCTCAGGATGAAGATCATCCGGTTTGCTTTTAGAGCAGCATTTCTGCTTCCCCGGGCTGTGAGCCCATGTGGTTCCAAAAGAAAGTTCTTCAGTCTCCCGGGGCAGTGACCTCAATAGCCACAGGGAGGGGTGAAAGGTCACATCTGTGATCCTTTGGAAGCCTGGGTCAAGGCCAGAGCCTCTGCCCTCTGCCGCCTCCTGCCTCATGTCCCCTCCTGTCATATATCTGCCACACTTACACACACGTGCACACATGTACGGCGGCATGAATACACAGACACATGCACAACCACACAGATAAGCATAGGCCATTGTGTACACACAAGATATTCCTATAAACACACAAAGTCGTTCCCACACAGATGTGTAGGAATAGTTGTGTGCATAGAAACAAATACACACTGGCATACACACACACACACACACACACACACACACACACACACACACACACATACACACAGAGAAGTATACACAAAAACACAAGTGTCATGATGTAAATAATACCTCTTAGCTGTGGTACAATCCAGTGGCCACCCTACATATGACCCACCCCCATGACCCCTATGTCATGCGCTGAACTGGGCACCCTCAAACTCCTGTGTTGAGGTCCTAGCCCCCAGCACCTGTGAATACAACCATATTTGGAGATGCGACCACAGCCGGTTACTTGAAGATGGGATTGCTAGCTAGGGTGGGCCCTAACCCAGTCTGGCTGGTGTCCATATAAGGAGAAAATATTAGAACACACAGAGAGACCAGGGGCTCAGCATAGAGGGGGGGCCCCCGTGTGAAGAGGGGTCGAGCCAAGCAGGGAGGCTAGGGAAGTCTCTGACCCTGACAGCTTGATCTTGAACTTCCTGCTTCCAGTGTTGTGAGAGAATACATTTCTATAGTCCAAGCAACTTGTGTTGATGGCACTACTGATGAGAAGGGGTGTGTGTGTGTGTGTGTGTGTGTGTGTGTGTGTGTGTGACCATGCCCGGGAAGCCATCATGCAGCACCCGGAGCTCTGAGTCCTGGGGCTGAGCGGTTGTGGGGCTCTCTCTCTCTCTCTCTCTCTCTCTCTCTCTCTCTCTCTCTCTCTCTCTCTCTCTCTCTCTGCCTTTGTCCGTCACAGGAACAAAGTTCTAAGCCCCTCAGCACAAGCTGCTCCCGGTTCAAAGGTCACCTTGCAGCACACTGGAGGCCGCTGGGCGAGGCCGGAGGGGTCAGCACACAGAGCAGCTAGGCCTCTGAAGCCCGGGCCGGCTCACGGACTGGCACTGAGCCCAGCATCCCTCTCTGTGCCGAGGCAGGGCTTGGCAAAGCCTTCTTGTCAGAACCCCACGTCCACTCAGGGCAGACTCAAATTAGTCCGCTCCGCGGCACTCAGCTGGTTGCAATTGCGGCCCCTCATACTAGGATTTCACTTTCGACACTGATTTATGGGGAACACAAGGGCTGCCTAAAAAAAATCACTTGAATTCCTGCTCAGTGAAGCAATGGTTCAGCGAGGCGGAGGGAACGAGCCCGGCCCTGCCACCCCACAGGGGTGGGGAGATGAAGGTGGGAGGGTCCCCACCGCGGAGACTACGCCCAGTGATCAGAGCCACTCGGGTGGGCCACCCCCCCACCCCCAGCCCCCTCAGGGGCTGCCAGGGCTCTTTGGAAAAATGACATATTCCTGCAACTGGTTTCTCAGCGGCCCTGAAAATAAACGAGCCAGAGGTACACATGTCAACAGGCATGAATCTCACCCACATGTGGGGAGAAAAAGCTAATTGCCGAACACATGCTACAATGTCACAGTTTATACAAGATTTCAAAGTGTGCAAAACAACCCTGGAAACGCCTTTTAAAGACTTACACATGAGGAGAGGATCATGGGAGGGGAATGTGATCAAAATACATTATGTATGTGTATGAAGCTGTCGTGATGAAACCCATTATTAGGGATAATTAATATAGTCTAATAATTTTGTTTTGGTTTCTTTCTTTCTTTCTTTCTTTCTTTCCTTCCTTCCTTCCTTCCTTCCTTCCTTCCTTCCTTTCCCCCCCCCCCCCCAGACAGGGTTTCTCTGTGTAGCTTTGCGCCTGTCCTGGAACTCACTCTGTAGCCCAGGCTGGCCTCGAACTCACAAAGATCCGCCTGCCTCTGCCTCCCAAGTGCTGGGATTCAAGGTGTGTGCTACCACCGCCCAGCAAGACAGGGTTTCTCTGTGTAGTTTTGGTGCCTGTCCTGGATCTCGCTCTGTAGACCAGGCTGGCCTCGAACTTACAGAGATCTGCCTGGCTCTGCCTCCCGAGTGCTGGGATTAAAGGCGTGCGCCACTCGACACCCGGCATATTCTAATAATTTTTTAAACTGTCATGTACATCAGGCAACAGCTGCACGTTCCTGTTATCACAGCACTTAGACTGGGAAGGCAGAAGAAGCAGGAGTTCAAGGCTAGCCTTGGCTCTATAACAGATCTGAGGCCAGCCTGAGCTACAAGAGACTTGCCTCAAAAATAACAATAACCCAAGCTTGCATGTACTTTTAGAAAACAATACAGAAATTCAAGAAAGCGAGAAATTCTCAATGCAGGCCAGTGGTTTCTTTGGCAGGTGGGGGTAGCCGAAAGGGATGGGTATTTGGGAGCCACACATAGTGGCCCTGGTTGGATTGCTTAATCCTATATCTGAAACTGGTTCACAGCTCCACAGGTATTCATTATATCACACACACACACACACACACACACACACACACACACACACACACACACACACGTTGGTTACTCTGTTGGTTACTCTGTTGTTGTTGTTTTTATATTTAACCTTGTTTGGGTTTGCATTTAGAGATGAAGCAATGTTTCCAGCCTCAGAGACAGGCATGGCAGCACATGCCTGCGATCCCAGCAGGAGGCTTGCTGTAGGTTCAAGACCAGCCTGGGCTACATAGCAAGACCATGCTCTGGAGAAGAAGGAAAAGGAAGGGAGAGAGGAAGAGGAGGACGATTTTTTTTTTTTTACAGTTTCCCATCTCAGATCCCCAGATCCAAAGTCCCCCTCGAGCAGCATCCCAAGTGGCTCGGTGACATTAGGAGCATCACCATGGACAGAATAAACATCCAGCCTCAGAGCCTCACTGCATTCCTGCCACACTGAGGGATGAGGGTAGGGGGTAGGTCCGCAAGCCTCAGCGTGGACTCCCTGGAATGGGGTGGCAGGAAGCCTTCCTTGGGCTCAAATCTAGAGAGTAACCAGACTGGAGGCTCCTGCCTGAGGCCTTGGAGCTCTGTAATCACCTCAGCCCTGTTCTCCCAGACTGCTTAACCCTCACAGGCCCAGGGCCCTTCCTGCACACCACTCCGGGAAAACCATGCCCCTGCATGGCTGTGTTGGCCAATCGGGCAGGCCTGGACCACAGCTGCAACTGTACACCCCGGTTAGAGTGTGGCCACCCCCCAGTTCTTCCCCCAGAAACTGAGTCTGGCCCTGGATCCCAGCAGAATTAGCAGCCTCGTTTGTTACCATTGAGTCTCTCTCTCCAGCGCCCAGCTTGTCTGGGTGTTATCTGGGTGCATGGCTAACTTCTGGAAGCTAGAATCGCGTCTTATTTATTCATTCCACAAGTATGATAAGTACCTCTGATGTGCTATATGCCTCGCAAGACACTGGGGATTCAGTAATGAGTAACAGTGCTCCGTCTTACTCAGAAGGTGACTTATGGAGTTAGGACAACAGAAGGCTAGAGTCATCCACAGAGAGCTTGGAGACTGGGTGCAGGCCAATGATCATCTAGTCAGAGTCATCTACGCACAAGGGAAACAAGACACCGGGGTGACATCACTCCTGAAGGTCACATGTTAATAAGGCGCAGAGCCAGGATGACCCCAGAAACCACAGGGACCTGAGACCAAGTTGAATGTCCGGCCTGAGCATGGTAGCCACTGCCAGGCTGGCCTTGGAAAGCCGTTCTCAGAATACCTTGCTGGTGGCCAAGTCAGGCCTCTGGGAGGTCTGTCCCCCCCTCTATCTGGAGGCCACACACTGGAGATAAGCTGGGGTCACATTCACGGTGCCAAATCTCAAGCCAAAATCTTCACTCCCCCTCTTTCCGATGAGGGGTAAGGGGTGAAATCTGGAAAAATGAGGGTCGCCTCGTCACAGGCAGTGACTTTTGGGACACACACTCCCACCCTGAGAAGCATGAGGCCTCCTCTCTTGCACAGACCATATCCCTGGAATCTGACCTTAACTTACCCTCCCCCTACGCCACCATCACGTCACTCCCAACCAGTGGTTCTCAACCCATGGGTCTCGACCCCTTTGAGGGCGGTCACAAGTCAGATCTCCCGCGTATGGGATATTTACGTTACGATTCGTAACGGTAGCAAAATGACAGTTATGAAGTAGCAATGGAAATAATTTTATGGTTGGGGCAGGGCGGGGGGAGGTTGGGTCACCACAACATGAGGAACTGTATTAAAGGGTGGCAGCGTGAGGTAGGTTGAAAACCACTGCTCCCAACATCAATATGAGGCAAGGCTCCCTGACAGAGCTCCTTACTGTCTGCCCTCTGGCCCCGGGATCCCCAGAGGCCAGGCCTAGATGGACCCCCCCCCCCAGAACCTGCTAAAGGAAATAATAGGGTCCCGGGCCCCTCTCGGTCCAAAGAGCAGAGCAGCGTGGGTGGCATCGGCCTCAGGAAATGGGCTGTGTTCTCAGCCCCTCTGCACCAAGTGCTCACTTTCAGAGCTCCCACTCGAGGGTCCCTGATGGAGCGCCGGGGCCGAGCGCCCAGTCCGGTGCACATCTCAGATGACAGACAGCTCTGCCCCATTTCACAAGAGCGCGGCGACAGCCCAGCCCCAACCCGTCCGGGACTGTTTTGCTTGGCCCGCAGCGTGTCTGACAGGAATCGGGTTGCCAACATTGTAACTCTAGGAGAGGTCACATAAAAATCCAGATTTGAAAGGAGAAGAACGGCTTCCCTGAACCTGCTCCCTCGCCCCCCGAGGAAGAAGCCCCAGTGCCCCCCCCCCGCTCCTCATTGTCACCCCTCCCCACCTTGCCCACCAACGGAGGGCCATCTATCTCCTACCATCGGCCCCGTCTGTCTCTCCTTTCAACACGTTACTTTCCCAGGCCACAGGGGGCTCCGGAATTTGTGAATTCCCATTTTAGGGTCTGAGAACGATTTCGCCCGTGGAAAGCGTGACTCCGAGGTCTGTGAATTCTGCAGGCTCGCGCCCTCTCCCCACGAGGCAGCGCTCAAGTGAGGAGGGGAGAGCGGCGGATAGGAAGGCGATTCTGGCTGGAGATGCTGGCTTCGGTGAGGACCGCAAGGAGAGGCCCTGAGCAAGACACGGAGGGAGGTCAGAAATGAACCCGGGGAGGGCTGTGGGCTGGAGTCTGAGCCTCAGCATGGAGGGTCGGCTTTTTCTCTTTGGATTCTAAAGTGGGTCCGTCCCTACAGCACAACATTGCCCTTCAGCCTTCCTTTTCCTGTCCCAGACTCAAAGCTCCTCTCAGCCCTGTACATAGAAAGGAGAGGAATCGCCAAGGCCTAGGCCAGGTCCCAAAGACCTTGACCCAGATGGCCTGAGAGGCTCCCTCCCCACAGAACGCACAGAAAAACACAGTCATCTACATCTCTGTGTTCGCACAAGTATCTGTTGGCTTAACGTTTGTCCGCCATCATACAATTAACCAACTCTCCTTGGAGACAAACCCAAGATGGAGATCATTGAAACCATTGTCCTGCCAACTGGGGCAGAACAGTCCTGATTGGGTGTGAGAAATGCTAGACGAAGGTATCTCTTCTCCCCGAAGGAGTACCAAGCTCCGCCCGGCTTTGACGTCACCACCCTAATCCACTAACTATTACTACTCCTGCTGGGCCATTTTGAAACGACAAGAAAGAATCTGCCGTGGGATGAGCCTTTGCACACTGTGGGCCCCAAGTACCTGGTGGTGGAGGGGGAGGGTCCCCTAAAAGTGGGAGGGTTCTACATGGAGCCAGTGCCCAGCCCAGTTTGGTTCGCTGACTGGCCTGTGTTAGAGTGACAGCCGATGAAGGCCCCCAGGCTCATGTCCAGGACGACGACGACGACATGGGGGCTCCTCTTTGTATCAGTGACTCAGACACACTCAACTGACTCCCAACATCACCCTCCCTCCCCAGCTCTTTTCCTTTCCCCGTGAAATTTGGCTCTGTAGCGGGAGACGGCTTCTTTCTCACTGCCCCCCCCCCCCAAGCCCTCAGAGCACCCTTTTCCCACAAGAGGTGGGCTGCCAACACTGAAGGAAAACAGCGGGAAGGGTCAGAAGAAGCTATGGAGAAAGGAACCCTGTGTCTGTGTAGGCAGGCAGTCTGCCTTCCCGTTTTTATAGTTACGGTCCCGGACCGACCAGGGCTAATGCTCTTTTTGCCCTGAAGCCAAGCATCCTCCCTTTTTAACCCCTGCTCTCATCCTTCAGCTGCCTCCTCCAGGCCCTTTAACTGCCAACAACCTACTTTCCCGACGTTGATTTATGGGGACGGGAGGGATAGCGGGCCCCACCCGCAACACCATTTTCAAACCACCCAACGTTCCGGGCAGAACGTTTCCGTTGAAAGGCAAATACAGACCTACACAGTCCCCCCACGGAGCTGCAGACAGACACACACCTCCTCAGGGCCAGAGATAACAGTGAGGGGCAAGCCTGCCTCAGACCCACTGCCCACCCTGACATGCTCTCTCACAGCCTGGGCACTCGGGCACACGCCCCACCAGCCTGCCCTGCACCGTGAGCCATTTGGGCCTTCTTTTGAGGAAAAACACTCGGCTCCCAAGAAGGTTCCTGACAGGGCCTTTTTTTTTTTTTTTTTTTTTTCCAGAGCCGCTGGATAAATTGCTTTTGTGCAAAAATAAACACAAGCGAACTGCATTAGCCGAGCGAGTGACACATTAGTTACAGATGCAGGGCCTGTCAGAACATTGAGGGAACAGCTTTTATTGGGGAAAGGCTGAGAGACTCATAAATAACCAGTTGGCAATCTCACATAAACATTTGTGCGTTCACATAAACACCGCCTACCACAAACGGGGCCTGGCTGCCAGCAGGGCTTTTGGAAGAGCCCTTTCTGCCCGTCCTCCGAGAACAACGATGACGAGGCCGGAGGGGGGCGAAGGGCCACAAGCCCCCTTTCTCCCAGAGTTCTCTACTTCTTGGACCCGCACCCTGGGCTCTGTGGGGTGGAGGGAGAGATCCAAGTTCTAAATCCTAAGTGTCTGCCAGAGAAAGAGGGTCAAAATGCCCAGCTCCAGAGGAACAACTGGTCCATTTTCCTCCCTCCACAGAGAGCTCGCCTTAGCCAGCCCCGAAAGGAGAGACTAGGATCTGCTGCTGCACCCGGGGGCTGGCCTGCTGAATAAAGCCCAGTGAAGGATTTGAAAAGAGCTTGGAAATCCTTCTCAATACAGCCCCAGTGGTTCCCATCAGAATCGCTGGGAAAATGGGATGAAGCCAGTATCCCCCCCTCAGCACCAACGACCGAAGGCGACAAAGGGTGGCACCAGCCTCATCCCGTCCCAAGACGCAGGGCGCCTAGGCTTCCTCCCATTGGCTCTTGAGAGTGTCCTGGGGTTGGCCCTGGACTCCCTTTCTTCCCTCTGAGACCAACACTTCAGACCACATCTGTTTGAGGCTCCAAAATAAGGGCAAGGCTGCCCGTGTGGACTGACCAACCAGTTTGTTCTCGTTGCTTTCCCTTCATGCCAACTCCACCCCTTCCCAGCAAATGCCCCCTTGGAAAGGCTCCGGTGCCCTTGTTTGCACTGAGGTGAATGGAGTCTTGCTACGGGGCTCGGTGGGCACCGTTTGGTCCCGTCTCCCTCCCAGACGGGCCAAGTGTGAGCGTGTAAGAGTCCATGCAAGCCCGTAGCCCCGAACTCCTTGTCAAGTTTTAGAATCGGCTACAGGGGGGAAGGAAAATGCTGGGTCTTCTGGCCCCCACCCTTGCATTTGGGATTCCTTTAGGAAAGAGAGTAATAAGGACAAAACAGAGCTCCCACGGGCCTCAAGATACCCTCACAGCGAAGACTGGCCCCGGCGCCAGCAAAACTACCATCTTCCCTCAGCTCCACATCAGCTGCTGGTCACTGCTTCCCGCCACAGTGAAGGAGCAAAAACACTTAGGCTGAGTGCCTTTCTGTTTTATCCATCATGTTCCTTCATCTGCTGCCATGATTTCCTCAGTCTACCTTCCCTCTCTGCCCCCCAAACACCTCAGGGGGTGTGTGTCCAGTCCATCTGAATTAAATCGCCATCTGGGTCCTACTCTTAGACTTTTTCTTTTGAGTGCCTTTCTCCTTCTGCAGGCCCACATCCAACCCATCTGTCCAGACACCTTGAAAACTGCCTTCCAGAGTCTTCTCTCTGTCTCTTTGTCTCTGTGTGTCTCTCTGTGTGTGTCTTTCTATGTGTCTCTCTATGTGTGTCTCTGTGTGTCTCTCTCTGTCTTTGTCTCTGTCTTCCTGTCTCTCTATCTCTCTCTTGTCTCCCTCTGTCTCTCTGTCTCTCTCTCAACCCTGAGAGAATGCTTGAGTGCCTTACTGTTAACTTTCCCTCTTGTCCTGGGTTGTTTGTGCAGAGCGAGTATTCCCTTGTATGCCCCGCCCCCAAGGCTCAAGCTCTCAGATCTGAGGCATCCCTCTTTGAGGTTCCCCTTCCTCCAAAACCCTCCTCCAGTGCCCAGGATCTAGTACCTGTGCTGAATCAGTGAAGGGAGACGGTGGTACAGTCTGGAGTCATGGTTCTGACACTGTGGGATGAGGTGATGGGGTGGTAGGGAGGGAGATGGTGGCCATGATGGAAACTGGCCCGTAACCTTCCCCTGGGCAGCCTCCTTTAGGCTTTCATTTGGTAGCTGAATAACTCTGCTTTGGAAGAAAAATTAAGATGCCAGGCAGGTGCCAACAGCCAAGCACCACGGCTCTATTGACTAAGGCTCTGCCATCTAGGCCCTTTCTTCCTGTGAACAAATGGAACGTTTTATGGGAAGATAGAAAGAACAGTCCTAGATGGCAATGTGGAAGGTCCTTTGGCCAAGACAGCCCTCAGGAGAGAACACAGTGCAGCCATAATTTATTGCATTCGATATTTTCACGTCCAACCTTATTTTTATAGACATTATTTCATAGGCTCCAGCTTAAACACAGATGGAAAAGATTCTGGCTTTGTAATAAGAGATGGATTATGGTGGGCCCACCCCGCTGCTCTGTGCCTGTGAGTGAGTAAACGCACATGATCATGGCCTTAGGTGGGGCTGGGAGATGCCTTTATTGTGTGTGCAGATTTTGATCTGACAATTCTACACTCATCTCTTCTTCCTCGTGGCCAGGCCCTCTGGATGCTTCCGGGGGTTGGAGGGGGGGGGGGATGGGATGTGATGACCATGTCAGTGGGCAAGAAAAAAGTATGGCTGAAAAGAAGGAAGGAGGGGGAATGCATGGTATTGTCTACATGACTATGCTGTATGCATTGCCTTGCTCTTTGGGGGGTGTGTGTGTGTCAGGATCTGGTGTAGTTGGAAAATAGCGTCTAAATCTCTCTAATGTTGCGGGAGGTACTCTCCCTCCATGCTGGGGCGCAGAGTTTCATCTCAATGAACGTCTTTAAAATCAGGATGGAGGAGCTGGGGAGACGGCACAGTTGGGAAAATGAATGCCTTGTAAGCCCAAGGATTGGGCTTCAGTACAAAAGCTGTGCTTGGTGGTGTGGACGCAGAGACAGGAGGATGCCTGGGACATGGCATGCTCTCCAGCTGGCCTAGCCTACTTGGCCTGTTCCAGGCCAATGAGAAGCCTGTAGAAAGAAAGAAAGAAAAAAAGAGAGAGAGGGAG